GGATAGACCAGAAGTGTTCTTGGCCTTGAAGAGGATAGATTTAAACATGTGCGGTTTGAACAGCCCCACAAAGGAAGGTTGGTCAGGAGTGAGACCCTCGTCCTCAGACAGTTCCGCTTCCATCGGATCTATCTCCGATAAGGGCTCCCCATGAAGAGTGGATCCCCATTCAAACTCCTCCTCCTCCCTCTACTGGTCCAAAACCTCTATCTCCTCCTCCAGTTCCCCTTCTGGAGGAGGGCTGGCCCCCGGTGAAGGTACCTGACCGTGAGCAGGGTCCGGTCTGGGCGAGGACCTGGCTGATAGCGACTCGTGTGCGGGAGCCATCTGAAGGAGGCCTCGCCTGGACATCTGCTGCAGGCCTTGAGCAATCCCCTGGCAGATAGCCTGTTCCATCCAAGCCCTCATATGTTCAGGGATCTCGACTGTGGCAGGCTCCTCCTGTCGGAGACTGGCGGCCATGGGGGTGAATGTGGCTTCGGGCATTCACCTGGTCGATGGTCCAGGGACCTGAGGCTCCTGGAGTGATCTGTGCCTGGAGAGGGGAGAACAATCTGGAGGAGGGGGGGGGTGCATAGAAGTAGAAGGAATGGCTGGAGGTACTGGTTGAGACATCCTGGATCGCCTGTCAAATTCTTTCTCTAACGCCTTATGGCGTCTTAAGGCATCCCTTTGAGAGGCCTTGGAAGCCTCCTGAGAGGTTTCCTTAGCCTGTCTGCGCACATGGTGGGACTTAGATTTGGCCTTCAAAGAAAGGCGCTTAGCGGAATTATCGTCTGCCATTTTACAAGGGATTGAATAGAATAATATAGGCGGTAGGCACGCCAAGGATTCGACCTACGGGAGGGGCCAGGTATCTTAAAGCTGGCCCGCGCCCCCTTTTAGAATTTGGTAAGAGAAAAATCTGTAAAAATATGATTAAATAATTATATTATTATTATTATTATTATTATTATTATTAATAATAATAATAATATATTGTAATTATATGTATCTGAAATTATATATATGCTGTGAGTAATTGCTCACAATTGGAATAGAGTTAAGCAACAGGTAAAAAATTATAAAAATATTGTTTATTTATTCTTTATTATAAAAAAAATCTTACTGAACAAATCTGGTACCGAGTGACTACCAGGGTAGGATAGAGGTATTTGTCCAATTGGTCAAATGAATGCCTGAGACAAAAAAAGGTCTCTAGCAGCTTGCCCCCCCTGCCCCCCCCCCGAGAACAACCGGGAGGGAATGGCTGCAATTGTTTCCTCGCCCTGAGCGTTGCTGTGGAAAGCCAACACTCCAATACCAATTCTTTCCTTTTTTATTATTATTAAATTCAGCCCAGCAATGGCAAAAAGGAAGCTCTAACAGGCTGGGAGGCCTGTGCCAGAGAGCTAAATAGTAACTTCGCAGCTAAAGAGAGGCCAGAAGATGGCGCCCGAGCACGAGGTGGTGCCCAAAATGGCGGCCGCCTGCGAATCCTTTGTCAACGGGCCACTCAGGACGGAACTAAGGTCCCTCTGGCAAATTAATGCGCCTAGAGGGCAGCGAGGTAGTAATCGCCCCTTCCTGGGGCAATCGGTGTTCGGGTGGGGGGAAAACCAGCTGCGCTAAAGTGCAATCGATTCAGGCCGCTGGTGAGGGCGGGACAGGGAAACGGCAGGAAGCAAAGGAAAACGAGGAGGGGGGGATTAGCGCAGAAGCGCTGCTAAGCCGCCCGCTCTTCCCCCTTGGGGGTGAAAAATCACGCACCCCTTGCACCCAAGGCACCCCCAAATGCTCAGAGGCTAAGGAAGACACAAATGAAAGAAATCAAACCTGAAAAAGGCTACAAAGAGAGTGCTTGAATCGGCCAAGGAAGGAGTATACAAACACACAGCCTAACTCTCCGAGGGCTGAGCATAAACTGGGGAACGCTGCAAGGGACCACGTGATAGAGGGCGGAGCGTTCCTTAGTAATTAAGCTCAGCCTACAGAGACGCAGACTGGAGCACCTCCCACTCTCTGGATGATCCGAGCAGCTCAAAGGAGAACTTCTCTATGCTCCTTTATAGGTAGTCCTCAATTTCCAACATTTCATTTAGCAGCCATTCAAAGTTACAACAGCATTGAAAAAACGTGACTTATGACTGTTTTTCGCACTTTCAACCATTGCAGCATCTTGATGGTCACGTGATCAAAATTCAGACACTTGGCAACTGACTAATATTTATTATAGTTTCAGGTGTCCCGGTGTCATGTGATCACTTTTGGTGACCTTCTGACAAGCAGAGTCAATGGGGAAGTCAGATTCACTTAACAGCCTTGTTATTAACTTATCAACTGCAGTGATTTGCTTAATAACTGTAGCAAGATAGGTCATAAAATGGGGCAAAATTCATTTAAGTACTGACTCGCTTAGCAATAGAAATTTTGGACTACCTGTGTATTCCCAGAAGAAAGGCAGGGTATTACTCTAACAAAGTTTTGGATTACCATGTTACTCAACCATTATGGTTTGGTTTAGTTTGGTTTATATCATGCTGTAGTTGAACCTGCTCCTTGGTACTTTTCAGTGAACCATGTTGCAGCAAACTATGGATTACTGTAAATGTAAATTCATTTAGAATGTAGGCATTGAGTGATGGACTAAACATTTAAAATTATTTCCATTTTTTATGGTCAAGCATATGAATATTCAATGCTCTTATCCATGAAACAGGTACTGATAGTCAAGCACATAGAACACATATTACTGATAGAAATTCTCTTTGTGTATCTTCTCTAGTTTCACTAAATTTCAATACTACAAACTATTCATCTTAACCAATCATGGTTTGGCTGTAAGGAAAAGCTGGCTAACCATGCTTTTTAAAAGGGCTGCTTCAACTGACTGGATTGCTCAACACATTAAGATATAACACTTTGTAAATAAAAATACTTTAGTTCAGGTGTACTGTAAAAGCCAAAGACTTGTAAATTTTAATTAGATATGAGTTTAAATATGCTTGGGATAAACACACGTCCACGATTGACAAAAATTGTAAAAATAAAACAAAAATACATAAATTAAAAAGACAATAAAACAAAAACTCAAAGGGCAGACGATAGTCCACTATGTCTTTTTCTACCATCAATTTTCTGTTTCTATATATGAAATAGTTCTTAGCCTTAATTACAGTCAATTAATGCAATACTTAAATTTTAGTGAAGGGGAGAATTCCCCAGAGTCTGAGAAAAGGGAGTGCATCAACTTATGGTTTACCCTCCATTTTGCAACCACAATTAAAAGATGGCTCTAATTGCAGTTCCACCTCTCCAGCATTGGTCATGATATAAATGACAATATGAATTGTTGCATATTTTGCAAACACGTAGCTTTTTAACAGTAGTTTTTTAATATTTGCTAGAACAAATAAGTACAACCCTATTTGCAAAAAAAAAAAAAAAACCCTCAACAACAGCTAACATCTGTTTAAACTTTAAAGAAATAACTGATGAGTAATAAAGAATAATGATCCTGTTAAAAAGAGAAATGTTGGAACAGCAAACAAACATAACAACAAATAATAACAGATTCAAAGTGAATTAAAACTCTAGGAACAAAATAGATGGTTATAATCAAATCTTGTGCAAAATTAAACAATAGGTTTGGATACTGATGGGAAATTAGTATTATTTAATATTAAAAATCATTAAAATTAATATTAGTATTATTGCTTTGGTAAGACCACACTTGGAATACTGTGTCCAGTTCTGGTCAAAAAAAGAAGTTGATGACATGATAGCAATCTTCCAATATTTGAGGGGTGGTCACAAAAAGGAGGAAGACAACCCTATTCTCCAAAGAACTTGAGGGCCAAGACAAGAAGTAACAGATGGAAACTTATCAAAGAGAGATCTAACCTAAAACTAAGGAAAAATTTTCTGATAGTGAGAACAATTAACCAGTGGAACAGCTTGCCTTCAGAAGTTATAGGGGTTCATCACTGGAGGTATTCAAGAAGAGATAGCCATTTGTTTGCAATGATATAGGTCTCCTGCTTAAGCAGAGGGTTCGACTAGAATATTTCCAAGGTCCCTTCCAACTCTGTTATTTTGTTCTGTTAAAAGCAAGTATTTTTAAATAAATATTGGAGATGATCACAGAATAAACTAGCATTTTCTTTCTGTAGCTATCTTTTAATTTTCTACATCATCTTATGATAAGGACATTGACACATTGCATGCAGTTATGTGGAGTGATTTTTAAAACTTATAAATGAGTAAACAGGTCTTTCAGGAATGTGTAGATTGTCATGATTTACAAAAGGTCCATGTGGAAAAAATCTATTATATTGCAGCTGCCATGAAAGGTCTCAAATATGGAAAACACAGATTTGGTTATGATAATACTAAGCTAGCATTTTAAAATTATGGTTTATTGATCAAGCCATAATGGTCTGTTTCACCCATAACATTAAACTATACAGTGAGTAGATTTATACAGCAAACATGTCAGGTTATCTATAATCCAGACCAGTGGTGGTATTCAGCAGGTTCTGACCAGTTCTGGAGAACCGGTAGCAGAAATTTTGAATAGTTCAGAGAACCGGCAAATACCACCTCTGACTGGCCCTGCCCCCACCTATTCTCTGACTCCCAAGTCCCAGCTGATTGGCTGGGTCTTCTTTTGTTGCCCTGCACAGGAGAATGGAGCTGGAAAGCAGGTTAGTGGGATGGGGAGGGAATGAGATTTTGCAGTATCCTTCCCCTGCCACACCCACCAAGCCATGCCTACCAAGCCATACCATGCCGACCAAGTCATACACACAGAACCGGTAGTAAAAAATTTTGAATCCCACCACTGATCCAGACCAATATTATAGCAAACTGTTATGGGTAGCTATAATTTAATTCAAATATTTCAACAGATCTGCGTCAATAGGAAAGAATTATGTTTGCTTTCTATGTAACATGGCTTGCACTAGAAAAACCTATATCCATAGTTGACTTACATCTCATTCTCATATTTGTTTCTGTAGGCCAGAAATGTGCACAATGGCGAGTTGGCTGCAGTTAAAATTATCAAACTAGAACAAGGTAAGCTTTTCTCTATTTTCTAATGGTACTGAATTGGTTTTCTTTTTCTTTTCTTTTTTTTTTTGTAAATTTTATTTGAGTTTTCACAAAGAGAAAAAAAATACAAATAAAACATCTTTTTTGAAAGCAGCATAATCCCGGGTTACATTTCTTCGTACAGACACAAATTCAGGTTCATGCTCATTTTTATATTCTGTTCCATTTCTTATTACTATTTTACATTTTCTGCATAGCTTCTCCCCTCTTTTAATTTTCTCAATTTTATTTTAATTATCTCCTCTCAATTCAAATCATTGTATTTATATTTTTTGTCTGTCCTGTTTCAATTATCTATTATCTTTTCTCATTAAACAAAATTTCTCCTGTAGTTACTGATTGGAGTATGACGCCTTTATATCTTTTCCCTAAAGTTGTAACATTCAATATAATACATAACTTCCATTCGGATTCTGCTTGGTACATTCTTAAAATACACACTGTATTCTTAAAAAAAGAAAAAAAATATAAATGTATATAATTAAAACAACATTCCATTCCAATTCAATTCTATCATTAATATTCATTAAAGTCTTAATATCTTTAACATTACTTTTCAATTAAATATCATACTTCTATAGGAATAATTATAAGCTTTCCATAGTTAATTCCCCCCCATCACTTATATTTTATAAGACATTAACTAATCAAAATGTTCCCGTTCCTTCCTAATTCAATTTTCTCATTTATTTTATTTCACATATTTATTCACAAACGTTTCACTAAATTACACTAACTATTTTATCCCTCAGTTTAATCATACATTGTTTCCAATTTTCTAAAGTTATTTCTATTACTAATATAACAATACAATCTTATGTACCTTTACAGAATCCCTCTTTCAGTTAGATTTTCACCCATTATCTCTAAATAAGTCCTGTTTCTCTATATCTTGCTCCGGTCCTTTGTAACTTCTTTTCCTTTCCTTCTTCCCTCTCTTCTTCCCTCTCCCCTCTTTACCCCCTTGTCTCTCTGCCTCTTTTTCTCTCTTCTGTATTCCCCTTTTCTGTTGCTTTCCAGTATTATACTTATTTTTCGAATTATTTTTCTTTTCTTTGGTTGTTTTTTTAAGTCTTAAATTCTCCATTCTCTTTCCCCCCTTTCCTTTTTCTTCCCCACATAGAATTACTTGTTCATTAAAGATGGCTTCTTCTTTGTCCCAATCTTCTTGTTTTGCAGTCTTTTCTTGTTGTTTCTCATAGTTCCAAATCTCCATTTCTAAGAATTGAAAAACGAAGCCAAAAGAACCCTTCCCTTCTTGTGCATCTTCTTTGTACTTTTTAAGTTCCATTTTCAATTCATCCAGAAGTGGTGCCATTGTATAAATTTTAGTCATTCAAATATAATAACCAAAAATCCAAAGATCACCAAATAATCCAAATACACACAAGCTGTTTCTTTTTTGCTCTTTTTTTTCACTTTCTCTTCCTGGGGTTACTATTTAGTTGCAAAGGTTCAGTTAAAATGTATCTTGTTGAAGTTTTACTGTAGATTCTTTTTAATTCCAGGCAGTCTCCTCCCTCTTCCAGATCCTGCCCTTATTCTTTTTCTCTCCCTTCCTGCTTATGAAAAAGAAAGTTTTTAATGTCCAGAAATCTTTATTATCCCTTTGGCATTTTGTTTTATTTTCAGTTTAATTGCCTCTTGATGTCAAAGCGGATTTTTCCAATTTCTTATTTAAGTCTCTTAGTTGTCAGTATAGGGAAGGAGAGAGAAGAAAAAAGCCAAACCTTTCCCGTTTCACTTTCCTTCGCTGCTTCCGACTCTTCTTTGGGAGCGATGTTGTTTTTTGTAAGTTTAAAGTCCAGGGTACCTTGGTTGTTGCTTTCACAATTTAACCTGGTCAGCCAAAACTTTCACTTCTTATCTTCCTCCTGCACAGTCTTTTCCGGTCAAGTTCTTCTTTGAGGTGGCCATTTCTGACCACCGCTACAACCGCCTTCGGGAAAGGGAGTAATGGCCAGCTGAGGAGGAGAGATGCGGCTCTCCTCGACCCCCCTCTTCACCACTTCTACAGGGTGGCTTAGCCCTGAAACCAGCCGGCTCGGGGTGCTCCAGCGGCGAGCCCAGACAGAAACCGTGCACGATCGTGGATTTCTGTCTGTCTCCAAAGCCCTTCAAACCGGAAGTCTGAATTGGTTTTCTTAATCACATTGCTCATCAGATTCTTATTCCAAAGAACCTGGAGCCATTCGCCCTTTTCTTCAGTTTATTTCTTTCAGCAGTAACCCTGGGATAAGAGCCAGTCTTTGAACAAAGGTCAGATACCAAAACTTAAAGGATACTTCAACAGGAATTAAATGTGCCCCCTCCCTTCAGTTCTAGTGTTTGATATCCTGTGCCACATTTTTGGAGAAATATTAATCTGGAATATTTATTTGTTTGTTTATTTGTTTGTTTATTTAGTCAAGCAATTGTAAGATAATTGGTATAAGTATAAACATAGTTATGAATATATGAAATGGATACATATAAGAAAGAAAAAAATAGGACAGGGACGTAGGCACGTTGGTGCGCTTATGCACGCCCCCTACAGACCTCTTCGGAAAGGGGTGAAGTCAATAGTAGACAGTCGAAGGTTAAAGTTTTTGGGGTTTGGGGAACTTGTTAAACGGAGAGTGAACCCCATGTTCCTCCTATTTTTGTTTTATTATTATCTTCTACTTTGTCTATCTGTTATGACTGAATTGCCCTGATTTTTTTTAAACATGGCTTACTAGTTGCAGTCCATTTTTAAAGTTAAAGAAAATCAGATTTCTTTCCAGTGTAATACAGAACATTGTTAACAATTTCAGATTGTTTCCTTTTGGGGGGGCACAACATATGGATCTTAATATGAATTAAGACTGGATTAATGTTTCTCAATTTTCAAGAAGCACGGACCACTAAATAAACAATCAGAAATTGCAGTGGCCACCCAATCAAATAACACTGTCTCTCCATTTTTGTTTTTAAGAGCATGAGAGTTCACTTTTTTATGAATAACAATTTCACAGTGGTTGTATTTGTGTATGTCTTTCCATCTCTTCCCATTTTAAAGACCTTTTAAAACCAAAATCTATATCAAAAACTTAAACCCAAAATTTGTCATTTTAATTATATATCTCATGCCATAACGAATATTTAAAACACATTCTAGTAAAATTGTTTTTAATGAATGGATGAGTCAACCTTGAGTGCATCAAAATCCTATTTTTAGACGTTCATTACATTTCTTATTCACACTTTTTCTTTTCCGATTGCTTGCGTAAAATCACTTAGTAGGAACATTGCACTTAGTTCACCATTTCCAAGACTATAGGCCTCCAGTGTGACATGGACTTAGGGGCAAATGCTGGTCATACTTATATATACTTACGGGTTTTATACGGAACCTTGAGACATCATAATCTGTTTAATTTACAAACCATTCTCAATGTTCTGTAAATCCTGTCTATTTTCCTTTGGTTTGTTCTTACTTATTGTTGATTGCAAACATTTTAGTTCTGCAACCTGCTGACTGAGTATGAAACCAGAACTGGGGGTGTGGTAGGCAAACTGTGTTTTGCAGTGGGTGGGGGAGCATAGGGAATGGTGCCACCTGATGTAGAGGTGCATTGGAGAAAATGTTTCCCAAGGTTGCAGACTAGCTGAGGTTTTGGCTTTGCTACAGTGCCAATCAGTTAACCATGTCTTGCAGCTATGCAGATTGAGTGGGATGACAGACTCCTTCAGTTCATTCAGAAAGTAGTTTGGAACATCATTCTGATTGAATGGGAGATAAACACTTCATTATTTTTACAGTAGCTATATGTTTAGTTTGAAAAAAATGTATTTGTTATATATTTAGTCTCTAAAATTTTACTTCATTTTTCAGCCAAAGGGCCTAACAGAACAGCTTGCCTGTGGAAAAAGAATAACTGCAAGAAAAATAGTTTCTATCCCTAGTCTTACTGTCCCAAAGTCACAACATTAAAGGAGAAAAATGAGGAAGTAAGAAGAGCACTCATGTATATACATGGTTCTTTCAGTGCTCAGATGGAATGGAACTGTCTCATGGAGAAGCGTAGGCAGAATATGATTAAATGCTAGGAAAAAACTTCCTAATGATAAGAATAATTTGAGAATGAAACAACCCTGATTAAGTCAGAGGTTTAGGAATCCAGTCTGTCTGTGATGCTTGAATTAGGATTTCTGAACTGAGCAGAGACTGATGAGGGCATTTTATGAGTCAAACAGTTTCTCATAGAAGTGCTCTGTATTCAGATCTGGAGCAAAGATGTTTTAGATCCAAATACCACCCACTCCTAGGCTGTCAAACAGGCCTGCTGATTTGTCCTTCTGCTAGCAGCTTCTATTCTACAAGGGTTGGGTATTTGCCAGGATGCATGCACAATCAATTGCCATCTGCTGACTGGAATTAAAACTTATTTTAAGCAGCTGCAGCTGATTAAAGTTGATTTTGCCTGAGCAAAAGATTTAAGGGGGCAATGTTTAGAAGATGGGCCCAAGTATTACATGTAAAAGGCAAACTCTTTGCGTTTACCTGAAATGCCCTAAAGTGGGAATAGAAAAGCTTCTGCCTGAGTTGACGCTGACAGTTTTTGTATGACATGCTTTTTTAGCATTGAACCCAGTTGGGAAACAAATCTGATGGAAGTCTGGTAAAAGATCAAGTTAATCACCTTAGCAACAGCTCCCTCTGCAGTCAAGGCCAAATAGCTCACCAATCTTTGTATTGCTTGAGACTTCCAGTTTATTATTATCAGCAAACAACATGAGCAAAAACCATCATTTAGGTATGAAGGATTCTGTTTCATAGCCTCTCCTTTATCCCACATTGTGTTTCTGGGGTACTAAGAAGTGCTTAACAAGTAGAATATTAATCACTGAATTAAGAAGCTACATCAGACTGGGTAGAGCAAGTAGCCTGTAACAAGCTTTGATTACAGAATGTAGCCAAAGGACTCAGCTAAATTCCGAGT